TAGCGGAGCGGTGGTGCTGCTGGTGGTGCACTAATGCATGCATGCCCGAATAAATAGATGCGTTAATCATTGTACCGGTGATCGGCATGAGTCCAAGCGAGCCGAGCTATCAGCTAGCTAGTGTTGCATGCCGAACGAGAAGAGGCTCTTAACGCTGGTGCGTGTCATCCAGGCTGTTCACGGAGACTTCCGGGGCAGACGGCCAGAGGATCTGGTTCGCGGGTCCGTGTCACGGGTAATTGCTAGGACGGTAGCTTGGGTGCCTCGGTGGTTAGGGTTAGGAGAGGGTAAATCTCTTTGGTGAAAATGTTGGCGTTGGCATGAGATGAACACCTACCTACCATGGAGTGGGGAGTGATTGGCCCGTACTGTGGCAACAGAGGAGCGCAGGACGCTGGTGGTAATGGCCGAGCTACTTGGTACTGGTCGCCCATGCTTTCGGCTCTAATTAAGGGGCAGCTTGCATCTGGTGAGTGAACCGAGAGCAATCCATAGCTGTCGCGACACCGGACGGCGGGAGGGCCGCAGGTGTCGGTCGCCGCAGGGGTTTCGACCAAACCTCTCCGGGTCGGGTCGGGTCGGGTCGGTCAGGCTCGGCCTGAGCGTACGGTTCCGGGGGTCGGACTTGCTTCAAGCTTTGAGGAGCGCCAACACGTTGCCATCCTTCGTCCTCACGTGCACGCGTAATCTACTGTAGGAAGCAATGGGGCGTCTGCGTTCATGGCCTCTTGTGCAACAGTGCAAGCGATCGATGCAATCCGTACCGTTAATCCCTCGAGCTCGCCACGTTACGTAGCTCGAAGGTGAAGGGTACGCCGAGGTCCGGAGTCTGACGATTGCATGCATGTAGGAGAAGATCGGCGTGCCGGTTTAAATTCGGGCATGAAACCTGCACGCATACGCGTGCACGGCGGATGTAGGCACGTAGGTACGCACGCACGCACGAACCCCTGCCATGAACCCTCCCGTGCGAATACGCGCGGCTTGCATTGCATCCATCGATCATTATTGGGCGCGCGAGGACACAGGCGCTGGGCTGTAAGAAGGTTCATTCATTTGGTCACGTGTTGGCCATCAGATCTCGGCCTCGCACTCGCACGCACCACCGGATCGCCGCGCTATATATAACGTCGCCGCAGCTCTCGCCACCACATCCATCCAGCATTGCCAGCGCCAGTGCTCACAGACTGACACAGGGCAAGCTAGAGCACTGTGCTAGTTGGGAAGAAGAGAAGAGAAGGCACGAGAGGGAGCTAAACAGCAACCAGCAATGGCGCTCGTTCCTCTCCTCCTCTCGCTGCTCCTCGTCTCCTGCGCCGCGCAGTCGCCGTCCGCGTCCAAGGCTGCCCCGGTCGGCGCCTTCCCGCCGCAGACGTTCGCCGCGGCGCCGACAACGGTGAAATCACCGCCGCAGGCCTCCTCGCCGTCGCAGGTGTCTGCAGCGCCGCCGACGTTCTCGGCCGCCTCGCCGTCACAGGTGTCTGCGGCACCGCCGACGACCTCGGCCGCCTCGCCGTCACAGGTGTCTGCAGCACCTCCGACGACCGTCGCTGCCTCGGCGCCACAGGTGTCTGCCGCGCCGCCGACCGTCACCGCCTCGGCGCCGCAGGCTGCGGCGGTAGCTCCGCCGACAACGGCTGCCTCGCCGCAGTTTGCTGCCGCGTCAGCTCCGACAAAGAGCTTCGCCGCTGCACCACTCACAGCCACGTCGCCTGCGGCGTCCACTGTTGCCTCTCCGCCATTCACTGCCACCTCATCGCCACCCGTCTCTGCACCCCCTCTCGCAGTGACCGCGGCCCCTCCGGCGATGCCACCCACCGTCGCCGCGCCGCTTCCGGCCCCAGTGGCCGCACCCATGGCAACACCACCGGCCACCGCGCCTCCCGCAATGGCTCCGTCACCCCTGCTCATGGCTCCCGTGGCAACGCCCATCGCCACACCAACAATGGCCCCCGCACCGGCGCCCATGTCACCGGCACCGGCGCCCCTTTCACCGGCACCGACACCGGCTCCGATCATCGCCCCGACTCCGTCGCCCACGATGGCACCGGAGCCGGCGCCGGCCATGGCGCCCGAGCTGTCGCCCATCATGGCCCCTTCGCTCTCCCCGCTCGGCTCGCTGTCGCCCGCGTTGGCGCCCGTGGCAGAGGAGGACTCGGCGGCCGGGAGCGCGCGCGCCGGCGTCGCCGCGCTCGTGGCCATGGCGGCCGCGGGGCTCGTGGTCTTGTTTTAATTGAGCAGAGCAGGGCTGGCTTACTTTGGCGATCTTGTTTAGTGTTACGTTACACGAGCGTGTGTGTCTGCCGACGTTCCTCCGGGCGTCGCATGTACTGCGAATTCTTTCTTGGTGTACTGCACATTATTGGCCATTTGTTTATTTCTTCTTATAAATATATGGATGGATGATATCTCAGAACTCATATGTACTACCATGTATAATTCCGGTGTACTGCATATTGCATCCTCATGCTGCGTATGCTTTCTCACTCGCTTATACAACTTGGCATATGACCGTTGTACACTATTCTTGTCGGTGCAAATTGTGGTTCAATAGCTTGAACACCTGAGATGCGCGTTCACTAGAAAGTGTCGAAAAATCACACCGCGTGTACGACCCATGCAAATGTGGGCCGAGGAGAAGCACGGGACACTTCGTATGAGAAACGTGATCTGCAGGGCCAGAAACTGTTGCCCTGCATGCATCCACAAAGCCTGTGGCATGGACACGGCAGGCCAAGGCCATACCGTGCATTCCGCTGCTCGCGGAGGCTGACGAAACGGGGAAAAGTTACATGCGCATTTCACGGTTCACACGCCTGGCGATTGCACGCTCCGGGGGGCAAGCGAACCCGTGAGCGGCCTGGCGCGGGGACGCCGGCTGGTGCACGGCGGCCTGGGCCCTGGTGGGGAGAGGCCGTGCATGCATGCATGGCCGTCTGATTCGCGAGCAGGACAGATTTCAGGACGTGCGTACGCGTGGATCGTGTCGATCATTTGGGGCTGGTCCCGGACGGAGGCGCATGCGGCCGGTGATGAGGGTCTCGCTGGCTCGTGCGCGTCCTGGCGTTTTGCAGCCCCGGCAGCGGTAGGATCTGCTCCGGTGTCGGTGGCTCCCTCCCAAGATGATGCCCCGTGCGAGGCCGGTGCAGCGCACTCCAGAGTTAATAAAGGCACCACCGCTGAATTCATGAGCTCGGTACAAACCTCTCCAGCAGCTGTCCACAAATTTGGTGCCCTACAAATATATATTTTAGATATAAAGGGCAGTGACTTTTGGACATCGATGATTTTTCTGCATTTTCAGGGCCCCTAAAACTGGTGCTCTATAATTTGTTTTTTTTTCAAAACAGAGGCAAAAGATTTGCCTCGTCAATTAATTAAGAAAAAGAAAATTACCCGGTTAATTAACAGAAAACCGGTCGAAAACCGATACATATAGACCACATGCGGACTACTAGCTAAGAAGCAAACTCCATGACCCCACGATCAACCCAACAAATATACATAACATGTAACAACCATGAGCCCTCACACTTCTATGCCTCAAAGAAACCCCCAATAAAACCAAGGTTACATACATCGAACGCCACCAAATTCACGGAGATGGAGAACAATGGGACTGAGGGGCAACGACGATGAAACATGAAACAGTCACCGAGCTCTATAATTTGTGAATCACATGAAGCATGATGATCCGACGGCGGGGCAACAACGATGATAGCCAGACCTGGGGGCGTAAAAGTGTGAGGACGTCAGCAGGGTGCCCAAGCCTGCGGCGGATGCCCATGGCAGACGGTGGGGGCGGATCCGACGAATTGGAGTAGTGGGACGACTGTAATTGGGCGGGACCGTGCAACAA